CTGGACGAGAACTCTGCTCACAGGACGCTGCCAGGGGTAAGTCAGTGTGATTGCATGACACTGGTCATGGGGATGCCATACAGATTCATGTCAAAAATCCCAAACTATCCCTTTAAAGGTATAGAGGATGATCTTTAATTTCCGGGTGGATCATCTAAATAAGTGGTACTCCTAGTTGTAAATCATTCTGGTGATATGTTTACGTAAGGTTGTCCTATGTGCTCATTCCATAAGCCATTTTTTTTTGCAAATGCTACTTTCAGGCGTATATGCGTGGTGAGCTACAGTTTCAGAGAGTCACCGAAGCTCACCTTTCTAACCAGCCTTCTTTGAAAGGACATTTCATAGAAAAAGTGTCTGGAAACATATGAGAAAAAAACAAAGAGCTCAGAAGAGGCAGATCTATCCTGGAATGCTTTAAGCGGAGAGTTCTCCTCTCAAGGTATTATTGGATTTGCTGTCACAGAGGCCTGCTGTCGCCATAAGCTGCTGCTACTCAACGGCGGCAATTAACAACAAAGATAGACTGGCACTTCGCAGTGGAGGACAAGTTACGTGACCTAAGGGGGAAAAAGTATTGACCATCTGTCCGAACGGTCAGTTAACTGAGTTTACTATAAGTCCACTGTATAGCTCCCACTTTTCATAGTGATTGAGGGATTTAGAGGTTAGGGCGGACGTTCAGTCACAGTAAGCTTGCATGAGCTATGAGAAGAGCAACTTTTAAAAAGAGCATGCACGAGGAGAAATGGGCTCATGCATGCTCTTGCACGTTCATTTATTTTATTTTTTTTTTAAGTGGAGAGGGTGGTTCTTTTAAAAATGTGTGAAAATCTTCACAATACCTTTAAGCATACCCGGACTGGCCATAGCAGGAACTGGGAGTATTCCCAAAATGACAGCCTGAGATGGCCTGCTGGCCTGCATCTCTCTCTCTCTCTCTCTCTCTCTCTCTCTCTCTCTTTTTTTTTTAATGTTTTATTAAGTCTGCTATTGCAGCAGCAGCATGTCTATCAGAGAGGCAGTAAGGCTAACATGTAAGGAGGTAAACACGATTGGTTCATTTTTATTAACAGACTGTGTCAACAACACAGACAGCAGCGTGCGGAAGGAAAGGGTGCTTAAAGTGTGCCTGTCAGATCAGCATACCTGGGCTGGCTAGACCAAGTGGTAAGAAGCCGTCCTGAAAACAGGTAGCCTGGGTTTGTGGAGTTAATTTCGATGCTCTGTATTTGTGACAGTGTAATCACAATAAAACGCTTGAAAACTACAAAAAAAAAATGATAAAAAGTCAATTTAATGAACAAAGGGCAGCCCAACATGCACTGGGAACAGGTCTGACTTACTGTCATGTTGGATTTTTGATTCCTGATTCTCTTACCTGTGAACGTTACATTAAAACTACAACAACTCACCTCTGCCTCCCTTTCTCAGCATTTGGGTCCTCAAAACCTCAACCAAACCCTGACAAAAGGAACCAGCCAACATGGATCCAGCAGAGCCACCAAAGTATTTTTTTCAAAACTCCTAATAGAAACAATAGACCACCTTTCCACTATCACTCCACCTATGCAGCGAGTGGGAACTGCAGAAGAAGTACTGAAAAGACTTCAAATGTAGAACTCCAAACCTTCTTACTTCATGCAGGTTACATAGCCTTAGCTGAGTGGAACATAAAGGATGCCTTTTCTCAGCTACTCTATAGACTTCCACCACCCAAACCATCACTCTGTCACGTTCCAACTCGGCAGCCAATCACCTCCAACCGTGTTCCTCCACCATCTCCAGCTGTTGGTCCTCCCCTGCCATCTGCTTCCTCCAGGCGTAAGCACCGCAGCTGGGGGAAGAAGGCGACTCCCTCTCCGTCAACCTGACGCTCCTACTCCCTCTCCAGCGGCTCAGCCTGACACCTCCACCTCCTCTCCGGTGGGTCAGCCTGACACAGCCACTCCCATGGGTCTGCCTGCTGCTAGCCTTAGTTCACCTCCAAACAGGTCAGTTTTCCCTATAGTCTCATATGTCACCTCTATGACACTGCATGAAAAGTGAGATTTTCGTCCCCGTAAACTCCCGCAGATCCCCCTGATTTTCGTCAGTTTCCCACAATTTGCAACCCGCGCTTGTCCCCGTTTGTCAGTGCCACAAATTGTCGGGAACGGACTCTGACGTATGTGGAGAGCGATCAGCTGTACTAATGGCCCTAATTAGCATATGAATGCAGCAAACCCGC